CCCCAAAACCCCAAAACCCCAAAACCCCAAAACCCCAAAACCCCTTATAGCTGCTTGGGATTGCAAATATTATCTAATTAAAAATCTTAATCATGCCATCAGCTGTACCAACTACATAATTATTGCTCGTCTTTGCAAATGCACAACACAGAATGCTATCATTGAACCCTGATTGCTTTCCCATCAAGGAGTAGCTAGGGATATCATCATCTTTGTCAATTTCAAAGTATTTTATCTCCTCTCCTTTGCCTCCAGCGATTATTATATCTCCATTGTGAGTGAATGAAGCACAATTTAGGTAGGAGCTTTCACTGGCTTCTCCAGAATAATCCCATTCTATATTATAAAGCAATTCCTTCTTGCGGAGATCCCAGACCTGCAGAGGATTTTTCCCTCTATAACTTCCTGTAACGATGGTGTTATCGTGAATATCAATAGCATTACTTGATAGGTCCGGGCCAAAAATGTATCCAACTGGACCACCCTTTCTAATGTCATGAATTTGTAGAGTTTTGTCCCATCCTCCAGTGATCACACAGTTAGGATCATCCTTTTTGTAAGTCATTGCAAAGACCCTTTGGGCATGCCCTGGCTCTTTTGAGTCTACAGGTATCATTTTTAAGAGGCAGTCTTTAGTCTCACCATCGTAGACTCTGACACGGTAGTCCTTCCCTCCGGTGCAGAATTTCTCATTGTATGGATCAACGTCTAGAACAAAGGTCTGGTTGCCTTCTTCAGTAATTGTTGAAAGTTGCTTTCCAATTGGGCAAGAATATTCGTTAATTACTCCGTCAGAGAATGCACAGAGAATAGAATTTTTAAGCCATTTCACACTCATACCTCTAGCCACTTCTCCTATTCCTGATGGAACATAGGAAATAGATTGAGCTAGCTTGCTGTTAATGAGGTTATATATTCATAAGGTAGAATCTGAGAGAGCTGCTGCTAGATACTTATCTTCAACTCCAAATTCTGCTGAAAATACTTCCTTGTGATCCTCATCCGAACCCACTTGAAATGTAGTCTTCGCCCCATACTTATTTCGGAATCGGCTTACTTGCCATCATCTCTACAAAACCCATTAGGTCCAAAATTGCTCATAGAACCCTCAAAATCCCTTCAAAACTCCCTATCTGTCCTCCTAACTCTACTTTCCTCTAAAAACTTACCCAAATGTTCATTCAATTCAAGAGCCTTTCTCTCTTCCTCATCCATTTCAGGCTCCTCTTCTTCCTTCTCTTCTTCAATCTCTTCATCCTCAACTCTCTTAATCTCCTCTGTGACTTCTTCTAGTTCGTTTTCCATCCGTAAAATATTATTTTGTATATTGATAGACTTCAAAAATATTTAAATTTTATGGGGTTTTGGGGTTTTGGGGTTTTGGGGTTTTGGGGTTTTGGGGTTTTGGGG